GGTGAGGATTAGTGCCTACCACACATACAGTCTGTTCACCATGCAGCTGCTGGTTCAATGGGGCCTGCTGCTGGACAGAGCTTTGCATACCACAGCCCAGCAGTCGTGGTTAAAAGAATCCCGGCGTGAAGGGGTTAAAGCTGTTGAAATATATATGCAAAAACCCCAGTCTTTTTTGAAGCAAAAAGACTACTATTCAAGCTCTGTTTATTTAATTATGATATTAAAACAATTAAAACAATAATACAAAATAGAGATTTGTATTTTCATTAGTTTACATTCTTTGAATAAAAAAAGGACTTGTATCACACTGAACAGATTGGCATACTGAAGGGAAGAAGATTTCTGCGTACATTATTTTCTTTTTGGGGTGACAAGCTGTAAGCTAATATTGAAAGCATATTCATTGCAAATTAAACTGATAATTAATGGACCTGTGTCTGAATGTTTGTTGTATTTCCATTATCGACAAGATTTTGGTCTTTTCAAGAACCTTTTGAGCACACATCATACACATTTGTATTTTATGCACTTAGCAAATGAAGTGCTATCTTCGCAACATAATTTCGAATTTTTTTAAAGGTGTCATATTATTCTTTCTTGTTGATGAGAATTCCGTCGAAACATGAACCTCTGAAAACTTATTTTTGATTTAACTTTTTCTCAGAATGGCATGTCTTAGTTTGTTTTTTTTAATTCCAACGGAAAATTGATAAAAATAATTGCATGCGTTCTTAGCCTCTAGCATAAGCAAAATGATGTACTCTTCAGCGTCTTCGCTGGCGACTACATTTGAATGTAAACACTTACAAATTCATTGTCGTACTTTCTTCAAAGCAAACACTAAGGAAACACTAAACTGACGATTTAGAGCGCATTCCAATTTACGCTAAAATTATCCTGAAGAAAATCGGTTGGCAGTTTTAAGCAAACATATTCTAATTCATTCTTTGCACACTTGACACTTCTTAATACATGCATGTGATAGCAACAAACAATTTCAACTGATGTTTCCAACTTCATGCATCAACCTTCGCTGCAGTAAGGCCTCCATGCATGAACAACAGGTGGTGAAAATCCTTACCAGCTTATAACTGATTGAATCCATCAACTTTGGCATCTCCAACAAATTATCAACCACAAGTCATTTTCTGGTTCCATTTTTCAGTTTATCTTTTCAAGTTAGGAGCCCAGTTTCAGAAGTTACGTACCCAGGTCCAATCATCCAAGTCCAAGAATCGGTTTTACAAACCACAGCTCTTGGGGTAGTCATGTTCACAGCCTTGCCTTGTGGGCGTGCTTGAATCGCTCCTGCATTCTGCCCTTACCGTCAGCAGCAGCAGCGATATCTCTTGGTTTCTTCTCAATGTTAATCCCGTACAAATTATGCTTCATCTGGTAAACAATCGTCCTGTCAAAACCAGCCGCACCTGAGGAACAAAAGCATCATTGAATTAAACAGATTTTCCTTCCAAAGCAGTCCCGTCGTCATGGAAAATCCTAGAGAAGAAGTTGTCCTGGGAATGGACGCCAAAGTCATGGTAAATTGAGGGGAAAAATAAGATATGTTCTTGAATCCTGCTGTCACAGGAAAAAAGTCAGGGAAAAGTAAAATTGAGATCAAGTAAGGGATCATGTTGATACACCACAACTGATGTGATAGCAGAATATTGATCCATTTTAATTAGCCTGTAATGTAGACTTAACCCTAACAGTCCTCAATCCTTCACCTGTTGGAGGACTGAGGACTGTTAGGCTTAACCCTTGCTGTCAATAGTTGTGGCTACTGCAACAAAAGCGGTTAATTTCAAACGCAAGCTCCCATACGGTAAATACAGTACGAACAGAGCGACGTTATATTTGAATTATTGATTGCTACCTATGCGTTGCTTGGTGAAGGCTATGGCAGTGTTCATCAGATCCTTCATGTCCACACACTCATCAACCACACCCTTCTCCTTGGCCTCCTCACCGGTCACTCTCTGGCCGTACATCACCATGTCTCGGAAAACGATGTTATCCCGTATCTTCATCCTGCAATAGAGGAAGGGTCGTGTCCAAAACAGTCATCCCAAACTACAGCTTGGTCTATTGCCTGCACTTCTCTGCATGTTTCTAACGGAGCGAAGACCTAGACCTAGCTCTTGACAACAGATTGGGATACAGCCAAAATCTGAACTCCTGATGACGCCATATCTTCAACTTGGACTTCACCAAAAAAGAGGACATTCCAATCTTTTAGGAGAGTTTGTACAATGTTTTTCAATTTTCAATGGCATAAGTGTGAAGTGAAAAACGAGGCAATCAGTTGATCTGAGGAAAAGTGGCATGCCTGTAATAAACTTGCTGAAACACGGAATCTTTTCCAATGGAAACACAAAAACTAGGATCTACCACTATTTGGTCTGCTATGAAGTTCAAAAAAAGTACTGAAAGATTAAAATGCTTCTTAGCTATTTATTCTAACAGATTTTTTCAAAGAAAACAAGCTTACAATGGAAACAAGGCTTGTAAAAAACAATATGCTTTTCTGGTCCTCAGCTTGGTGACAAAGGGTTTGAGGGGGAAGAATTGAAAGTTTTGCCCGATACCTGATCATGTTAGCTATGGAGGGCTGAATCGCCATTTTGATGTTGATCTCAGGGAAACAGAACCAACCACGCTGCGTCCTCATGATGCGATAGTCACAAGCCATGGCAAGAAATCCACCAGCAGCATATGCATGACCTGCAATTACACAATGATCAAATGACATCGTGTCTGCGTGCAGAATACGGAAAAGTAATTTGTCACCTCTTCCTGGGTCTTAAAGTTGGACTGTGACAAGAGTAGTTGGAAACAGTCCAACACAACTTGATGACGCCCAGTCTGGAAACCTCCGACCCTCAATACACATTCAAAAGCTTCAATCTGCTCCGAGCAGAAGCTATAGAGGGCGTGCTTTGAAATGAAATTGACTGTCCTTTGGTATGCAGAACATGCTGAGTATGCACAACAAACTTAGGCTGCATCCGAATCTCTTGTCTAGAGCTAGGTCTACGTCTTCGCTCCATTGGAAATGCGTAGAGATGCGTAGACAATAGATCTAGCCGTAGCTCTGGAAGCCCGTTTCGGACACGGCCTTAGTCAGGAATGTAAGGTCTTTGCGAGCACGCCGAACTCATGCAAGAACCCGGTTAGAAAACAGTAGTACTAGCTTGTCTTTCTTTCACCGATGCGGGTGCACTTCAGGTCAGGGCGGATATTGAAAGTGAGGATGAATGATGCAGTGCCCAGACCAACCATACTTTGGTGCACTGTACTAATACCAGGTCTCTGTGACGTATGTTTCCTCCACAAATCCACCCTTGAGATTAACGAACGGCTCCTCTTTTCAATAAGTCGGATAAGCAATTCAAATGGACAACATGGCCAACCAAACTGGTGGGAAAAGCTACATACGACTGATACCATGGGCGTAAATCCGGGGGGATGGGGTACCCCCCTACTTTTTGAGTGGGGGGCTGTTGAATCATTCCTCCCTCCCCCCACTTTTTGGTGGTGAACAAAAAAACTAAAGTGGACGGTGAAGAATTTCCAGTTGACTAAAGTGCATTCAGTATCACTCAGAAAAGAAAAATTTAAAAAACCATAAGTGTGTCAATCTGAATATATATATGAGGAACAATAATATCATGAACATCGATCCCACCCCACTTTTCACATTTTTATGTCATCCACCCCACCTTACCCAACTCCATCCCCCTAATTTCCAGCACAGATTTACACCACTGACTGATACCATGGGACTTTGGCTTGCGGCCTTAGAAGATGTTGGAGAAGGTTTTGGGCTGTTGGATGCGGGATGTTGGTCGTATTTTGATTTGCATACTGTTACTATACTGTTACTGTCTCCGTGAAAAGATCTTACCATTGAGGGCTGCCACAGTGGGCATTGGGTAGACCAACACTCTGTCCATAAAAGTATCAAACAATTCAAAGAAGGTCGTCACAGTTGTGGTGTCTTGCTTGCTCAACCAATCTAGATCAAGTCCACAGCTGAAGTACTTGCCCACGCCGGTGATAATCAGGGCTTTGGTGGATTCATTGCTGATTTCAAAGAAGTTGCAAAAATGTACAATATGTCAGGCTACGTTCAGAAATATCAAGCAAGCATATTGAAAAGTGGTAAAGCCTCTAGGTAAATGGAGGATCCACAGGTATGTGTGTCTTTTCAAGCAGGAGCTCTTCTGATCGAGCCTCATTTCTGCTGTTTAAGAGCCTAACGGGGGTCACTATTGGAAAGACTGCAGCACCCCGCAGTCATTTCGTTGGTTGTGCAATGCCTATGCACAGCTTATTGCATTTTTCAAAGTATTTTCTGAGAAATTTTCTAAGAAAGTCTGAAATACTTTCCATTTCCCAAATCATGTCATTTTAATATTTTTGTTGAACATTTTGTTGAACCCAAGTGTTTTCTAAATATGCTTTGAAATTTTCTCAGCTAAATTTCACTTTTTAGGATGTTTTTACTTTCCAATGGCTGTTATAAAAATTGAAGGGAAAATTAGTGTTGTCCCTAGGGAACTCTGTCCATTTTACCAATGACTAATCTTCAAGGGGCTCAGACCACAACTGATGAGAACGTGGAGACAGGATGCAACATTCTCGTCTCACTGTTAAGTATATATCAAGTCACAGCAAAAAAAAATGATCTGACCTTTCGACCTGGTCCAAGGCGGCATTCATAGCACGCACAGAGTTTATGTTCAGTCGGTTCTCACCATCATTCAGCCACAGGACTGCAATGTCATCAACAAAGCGGACGTGTATCCCCGCCGGCACAGTTTCAGCCATTCTGACAGCTCTGTCACTTCAAGTTAAAAATTGGGTAGAATTTTAACAACATATTTCTTCATACAACTCCAAACTCACATGCCAAGTCATTCAAAATTGACAAAAGCTTACCTGAAAATGAACATGATGAACAGGGGCCAGGGCCTTGTTTTTCTAGCGGCAATACATGTACAGTACAAGAGCCCAGGGCATAATCCTGGGGGGGGGTGATATTCCCACCCCACTTTTTGACTAAGGGGACATGAGCTATTGGATCATACCCCCACACTTTCGTGGTGAGGAAAAGAAATTGGAATTTGCTGGGATTTTTAATTTCCAAATGACTAATAGGCCTAACTGACTAATTATGTCTCCAATGGCAATAGACCTAAAAGTAATACTAATGTGCATGACCGTATATACATGTAGTCACCAGGTGAAGTCCCTTATTTCGCCACTTACTGTAAAAAACAGTCAGACTTGACAATAGGTGGCTAAGTTAGGGACCTGGCGACTAATACGGTCATGCTTGTTAGACCTACAGAAAAAGTGAGAAAGTAGTAAAGAGGTATCATCATGATCATGTGGTGTCCATAAATCGCCCCACCCCCTTTGCTTTTCGAATGTCCAAGGCTGGGTAATTTTGTCGGATTTAATTTCTTCCCCATACAGTCCCACCATTACGCACTTGCACCTGCGCCACTGCCAGCTCCGCCCCCAGACGTGACAAAATTGACATGCCATGATGCCAGACGAAGGCACTATCTACATGTAGATCTGATAAGAGTTTTTAATGACATGTCATTGTCAGCTAAGCTTAGCGTCCGTCTCCACCTTAAAATGCATTGCATGTAGCATGTCATATGTAATAAAGAGAATATTATACAACCAATAGTTTGACATTTGGTTGGTCGTGCTTGGCTCAAAAGTGAAATATTTAGGCCCACCTGTTCTGAGCGAGTAGAGACCGAGTCGTCTGCTTGTACGTCAAGTTTGTCAGTGGATCCAAACCTAGACTCCAAGCTACACACTAATCACATTGTGATAACTAGGTGCCTGAATTTTACGAAAGAGATATTCACCAACAGAGGGCGCTCGTCATATTGATTGTGCCATAGTCCAGATTGTGTCAATAAAGAAGGATGAGTGTGCACATTTAATTGTTAATAAAAAGATAATTTCTTAAGAGAAAAAAGTTACCATAACCTAATGGGCGAGTGTATATGGGGCGTGGCTCTCAGATAACTGTGCATTAACTGTCCAGTATGTCATGGTATCAAATTGCCTAAAGAAGATCGAGTGTCAACTTTGCGAGAGAAACATTGTTTGAGAATTGACAAATCTTCCTCAGTACAGGGAACACATTAATGCTCTGTAAACATCACAAATCCTACCCAAAGTTGACAAAATCTGAGCACGACAAACAGAATCTGTAACACAAATTATGTATGAAAAAAGAGAGCTTTTCTTTTCCATTTGAAAAACAAACAGGACATTTCAAAGTTGAACAACCACACCGTTAAAGGATAAAATCTGCATAATGCATCTCCTGGTACATAAATGAGAATTTGAATGGAAACTAAAAGACGCAGGCAGACATGCAATGGTTTACCACCTGTTTCCTATTTTCAACAAGATTTCACACAGGCTAATGCACACGATATTGAAATTGTGCTCCACTTGAAAGGTTTTAAACTTTTATTTTGAACACTGAGTAAAATGGGCCAGAAGTGATCTCCCTTTGACTGTACTTATGGAGAGCCAAAAATTGTCTTCAGCGCTGTAAGTTGCCATCATCACCAGCTCTGTCTGCTGATCTTTTTTTTCATTGGGGGAAGGCCTTGGGGTGTTGATTTCAACAGTCCTTTCAAACATCTAGGGTCCTCGGCCAATGACGTCCAGTTCTGTAGCATGAGTCTTCCAGGATTGAGGTTTTGAGCTTTATGATTTCATGTTGCCACCGCTTCCTGAAGCCTGACCATTTTCCACACCATGGGTTAATAAACATACGAGTCCCAACAACACTCCGGGTCGGGAACGTGACATTCTTCAACAACAATTCAGAGGTCAAAGAACGCTTCCTCACAGTTCTGCAGCTGGCGATCAAGCTGAACTTATAGATCAAAGTGAGAAATGCTGACAATCTCATCACCGATCTCCTTCTGAGAACCGAGGATAACTGGACGACCCAATCTTAAAATTTATCGACCAGGGTCATGAGTCTTTCCCTCTCAGCTGAGGCTGAGTCTTGGTTGTTTTCATCGCCTATGTTGCCTGCGTATTCTGGAAGTAAACAAATATATATCCAAATATCAATAACTAATGTTGTTTTGACAAAATGTGACCACCAAACTCAAGATCTTAAAGTCATTAACAAAAAATTCACTGGGATTTCAAACACATTTCAAAATTTTAACATGCAACGTACATAAGTTTACAAAATTACAAATGACCCCAGGAAACCTTTCGTCTAAAAGCTTCTTTTCTTCCTGGACCACATATTGAAGAGATGCTCCCGTACGATGTTGCCATGGCGACCTACCTCTGACTGTGTTCCGTATCGCTGAGATGGTTCCCCCATGCATGTTGAGTAGTTGAAGGACCCTCTGTTTGATGGTGGGTAACCCTGAGGAGCAGCTTAGGTCCAGGATGATGTAATCCACCAACTGTAAGGTGAAGAGACCCGCATCCAGACGCCGGAGGTAGTACTCGTCTTCTTGGTCGTCGTCGATGATGTCGCCCTCGCGAACTCGCCTCTAGAGAGGCAGAAGAGAAAAAAAGGAAAGCACAAAAGTAAGGGTCAAGACTCAGAACAGGACTCCTAAACACATTCTGAATAGGAGCAATGCAATAAATTTTTCTTAAACTCACTTTTTGTACATCTTTATACTATTATCCAATGTATGAAATCTGTTGGAAAACATCTGAAGGTAAGAATTCTTAAAGTGCACTGATTTAAACATCAAAACATCTCCGTGCTTTTGTACACAAGTGAAAGCGCTGTTGCTATGACGGCAATCCAGGCAGACACTTAAGTTTACATGTTTTCAAATTTTAAACTTTTCGTCAGAGCAAAAACTCAAGACAGCACGGTACCACCCAATCTTTTAAGAAAACCATGTGCCTCCAACAGGTTGTACCAATGTTCCCATGCTGTGAGATTTGGCCTCGGATCTAACCTGTTTTTCCCTCTCTATCCTGTCATCGCAGTGTTGTACCCTGCTCAGGTAGCTGAAGTGCAGCTCCATCAGTCGATCTACTTTGATGTGGTCACTTTCCGTGAACTTGTTGATGAGCCGCTGTCTGTGCGTCCCCGTGCAATTCTTCAGGAGAGCGGCCATGATGGAACAGACATGTTCTGTGATGATAACAATGGTGGAAAACCATGACCAAAACTTGTCTTGACCACTTAGCCAGTCGCTGATGTTGTTGGTTGAGATCAGTTGATTTGAATGATCAACCTGTCATGCTGAATTTATCGGTCAATCATGCAGGAAATCTTGCACTGTAAGTTTGCTTTCAAAACAATCTTCCACAGCTGTGAATTACAAAGAAACGGTGACTGGTTGATAGAAATTTTGACAGAGCTTGTTGCAAGATTGACCAACTGACCGATACCATCTATCTGGGTGTGTTAGACAAACATAGGACATGCCATTCATACCTTCATGCTCCTGCGGACTGGACGTCTTCTTACGGATCTTGGGCGTCTTCATGAACAACGGGAACAGACTGCGTAGTCCTAGGATGTCGATAAACTTGGTGCAGTTCTCGGTGCCGTCGGGCCCTGTCATGGCGTGGTCTAGCACCTTGAGGGCACTGTGTCGGGACAATTTCTTTTCCCTGCGAAATTGAGACAAAATATTTCTGAAAACAACTGCCGTGTGCCGAAACCTGTTTGTCTACTGACGGAGTCAATGAGAGAAAATAAATCTGGACTGATGGTTTTCCCTCGACCAATCAAGATTCCTCGCTACCTGAGCATGAGGTTCATCAGCTGCACGCCCTCTCCTCTGAGGAACCGCCCCTTATTGCTAGACAGCATGAGAGCTGAACACAGACAGTTGAATAAGTTCTCCATCATTTCGTTTTCCTCCGTGCTAGTGGGGTCATGTCTCTTGTAAACCTGAAGAAAGATCAAATTTGTGAAACATGCAACCTTCAGGAAGGACTTCATCTCAAGCCAGGAAAGTCCGACTGCAATGAGCTACTCAAGAATCCTGGTCAACAAATTTGCTTAGCAGGAAAGCATACCTCAAGGTACCAGTTACAATCAAGACACTCTGCACGTCATTTTGGTCGATAATACCGATTTTGGTACAAGTACATATTTATCTGTTTAGCAAATCTGTACCCCGCAGCAGGTCTATGAATATGGGCTCTCTCTCAAACCAAAAGTGCCCTATACTTAGCATACTGAATCTTACGGTCCCTGTCTTTCTCTATTCATAGCAGACACAAGACGCTATGGACAGGGCAATAAACATGTGAGTATCTCTTCCTAACACACGACACTGTCGACTGTTCAACATGGTACTTACAGCAAGCTGTTGTAGGAGGGTGTCGATACCATCTAGCTCACCGAGCAACTCTCTGTTCTCTGTAGTAATTGGACCAAAAAAAACGATTTGAGAAGTAAAACCCCACCTTCAGACCACTACGTGTACTTCACAACTTCAGGGAGGTAGGGTAATATTTGACGGTGTTTGGTTGTGAATCTGACACATTCTTTAGCAAAAATTGCGATGCTGGTTCAGCTCCATGGCAACAATTGAATCCACAATCCAATCATTTTGCTCAAACTCGGACATTTGACTCTGGCCTTATGTGATGAGGCTACAGCCAAACGAACAGTTTAAGCTTTTGCTAAGAAAGCAAGCGACCAACAAAACCCAATTCTTCTTGAAGCCGAGTCATCCACCCATGAGTCTGTAAATGAAACTGGCCTTGTGTGTCTTGCAGCAATATTGCTAGGATCTCGCTGCAGTATAACTTGTTGGCGTCAAAGGGAACTTTAGGCTTGAGTTTCTTCAGCAGCCATTGCAGCAGGTTCTGTTGGGCCGCCTCGCCACACATCTCTGGTCGGAACTCGGTCATGTTCTCAATGATGCCTGCAAAAGAAATGGAATGAGTAAACAGGAGTTAGTAAAACCAGGAACGCAAAAACATACCCTGAGGAGGAAGTTTAAAACATTAAATAGTTGCAGGTGAGTTGACCCTTGACCTAGTGAGTTGACCCTTGACCCTATGACCTACCCAGTGTATTGTGGATGCCCTCCGATTCCTCTTTCACGCTTTCGTCCAGTCTGTCCATGTTCTGCACCAGCGTTGCAACAATTTGCTCATCCAGCTACACCAAATAAAGATAACAATTTCTAACAATATTTCTTATTAAATACTAATTTGAGTTTAGCCAGACCTCCTGATGAAGCTAGATCCCATCTTCCATCAATTCTGGATACCTTAAAAAAAATTGGTATTTGTACTCGACCTGTTTTTCCCGATTTCATAGCTTCAAAGCACACATAACAGTTAACGCACAGTGTAGCCTCACTTCTGAGTTAAATGCCAATTTTTAAACACGCAAGACTTCACACGTACCCAGACCCCATACATCCAAAAGATATTCATCAACAATTTCTAGGTCCCTACCAGAGCATCAATGAGGGCGCCAGCACTGTCCTCGCTCTCGTTCAGCGTGTCAACGTCCGTCAGCTCGTGCAGGAGGTCGATGACCGCAATGGAAATGTCGGTGTTCTCGTGAGACACCAGTTGCATCAATGACTTGATGGCGTTCAGCTCCACTAGATGATGGTACATATCAGGGCTGGTGGCGATGACGTGAAGTTCTTGAACGGTGTCGTTCAGGTCGACTTCGGATTCCATGAATCTGTTGACAAAGCGATTCAAGTATTAATTGTTAATAATAAAAATAATTAGTTTTAAAAAAATGCTTTCCATGTCAACGATATCACAAAGCGAAGTACATTAAAACAAAAATCAATGACATATGCAGAGACAAACAATGTAGAGACAAGCTGTCAAAACACCTAGTGCCTTCTTTAGTTATGGACATTTCATGCAGAGCAACCGTGCTGAAACAAGCAATTTCTCAAGGGTGTTATTAGTTTTTACAGAATACAGAAATGTAAGCTAAGTGTCTACAAGTCTTTCAGGACAGTGACCTCCAGTGGTCAGTTGAGTTTTTGGAAACTTTAGTCTCGTAATCTGGAAAACTTGGCTCTAATTTTAACACTGGCACTCAAATTATTCTTTTTCATGAAATATGTATTTGTAATAACTTAAACTATGTGTATAGTACCAAGCCATCAGCACTGTTTTACTTATGGAAAATATTCAAGTTTCTTCGACTGACTTCCTGAAACTAAGTATTTTTTTAAATCCTGTACTTCTCTGGGCTGTCTGGATATTTGATCCTCATTTCTTGATTTCTGTACACTTTCTTCTCAAAGGAAAGTATCAACTTTCGAAGGCCGGCATCATCCAGACTTGGAACCTACAATGGGAACCAAAGCAGCAAAGTAAACAAAATTGTATCCAATTATTTGCCAAGAGCTTCATGAAATAGCAGACGTTGCTTACAAAATCTGAACTCAGCAAAAAGTTGTGGTGGCCTCTGAAAAACTTTAATCGGCTGGTCTTTAATTATGATAAATATTTTCCATTAAATATTTTTTTTCTAATCTGATCCATTAATGACTGTAAGGCCAAGCCCCTATTGCATGCACTTTCATAAGGGATCGAAGCAAAAAGTCTACATGATGTACCACTGTTTGGCGTGAGGAGTGCCAGATTTTGAAAGATTTGGGAAATATCCTAGCAGAATTCCAAGGGAAGTTGTTAACAAGCTCTTACCTCCGGTTCTTGCTCTACCATTTGGAGGATTCTCTGTCGTTCCTCTTCTGTCATTCCTCCCTCTGGCACTGTTGACTCCACCTTCTCGTCCCATCCCTTCATCTTTGTGGGTAAGGGCATTATGCCGCCATTTTCTTCATCATTCTTTGCATTGTCTTCACCTTCTCTCTTCCGTTTAAGGTTAGGCTTGTCAGGCTGTTCCAAAAAAAAAGAAAACTTATAATTAAAGGTGTTATCTTGAAAAGCAGTAGGGCCTAGACTACTCCTGGTGACTCACATGTCCACAGTTTTATTGGTTTGTAAAACTATGAGATTTTGAATGTGCCCATTTATTTTGTCTAAAACTGCACTTTGTCGAGCATGTCTGTTGAAACGAAGACTGGTTCCCGTCCCGTCCCAGTCTTCCGAATGTATATAACAGGGATGGTGACCGATCTAATAACGTGCGATGCATCTTGTCATTGGCAACCCTGAATCCATGGGATGTTTGCGCATTCCTTCACTGAGAACCAGCGTGGCACTGCAAGATCGTACGCATGGAAACAAGGTTGCGTTATTGGACTGGTCATCTCTATTATATACGTTCGGAGAACTGGGACGGGACGGAAACCAGTTGTTTCAACAGACATGCACCACATTATGCAGCTCAAGTGTGCGGATCGTTAATGAAGAGAGGCACGATCATAAATAAAATATTTGGATTTTGCAAAAAAAAACTGGTTACGTGGTCAAAAAATCATCAAGCATGTGTGTTCAAGAGGTATTATTTAGTTTTGACAGCATTTTGGGAGGAAGATAAGATTGACAAAGTACACTTTTAGTTTGGGAGTGGGCCTAGACCCTAATGCATCTTGATTTCATCAAGAATAATATTATAGGCCGGGGCGGACATCCGTAAAATGGCTGGTAGCAACCACACCGTGCCAATGAAAAACAACTGCGACAAGTGTGCACGTACGTACTGATCAAAGAAAAGATTGAGTAGCCCGATCCTTTGACTGGCTGGTTCGCGTGCATGTTGCCATGGTTGCTGATGTTTTCATCGGCATGGTGTGGTTGTTAAGTGCTGGATGTCCATCCTGGCCTCGACTAGTAGAGGCCTAAAATAGGCTTAAGTTATGTAAATTATTCAAAGTAACAGTTAGCCAACCCTGATTACCAATAATCCAATATGAACTTATAGAGAATTCAAATAAAACATTCTCTTTGAAAATTAATAACTTGGCTGAAAAATCAGTTGTTTAGTGGATACAGTCTTTCGTTTTTTTCACAAAAATAGTGCAATATTTCACTAAACTGGTGCAGTGTGTACATAGTGTGGGTATTGGTGTAAGTAATCACACAGGGTTTTTATAATTTTGAGTTTCAAATCCGCTTTTAAAATTATCTATGCTCCTCTACCGGTAACATCAGGACAAAGACAACTTGAGATTTTCCGGCTCTTTTTGTCTATTATACGAACCTGAAACGAGAGTAACTCCACAACATCCATGGTTGAATCGCGAAACAAAACCGCGTGCTGATGGAGAATACCCGAAGTGAAACAGTCTGGTGTATCAACCGTTAGCACAAGATAATGCGGAAAAGAGACTGGGTGAAAGACTCATTTCTGTCACTTGCAAACGTTGGCGGCGGTATACATGTAAGGCAAGCATTTTTAGCAAACAATTTAGCAGTGCACTCCGTCCGCGGACCAGACTGTTGACTGTACACAAACGAAGTAAACGGTTCTCTTCTTTCTTCCTTTTCAGTCATATTTTGTCATTTAGGAATTCAGAAGTCATATATTTAATTCTGAATGCTCCTTGTAGAGATATTATTTCAAAAGAATGCAAAATGAAAAATTCGTAAATCACATTTCTGTCCATTTCATTTGTTTATAAACTTTGTTGTTTGTAAAAATGAAATCGTGTTTTATTTCTCCATCATGTCCATGGTTTTAGCCTGTGTAATGAATACTTTCTAATACTTTCTTTTAAATTCTTATTACCAGCAAGGAAAATATTGGGCAGGGCTAGATGTCAGCTTTGCTTGTATAATCTTTCAGTTTCTGGTAATTTTTGTGTGCGAAATCTTGTCTGAAATAGGCCATGGGCCCAGGCCTAGCCTCCTTTTTTACCGTTAATTTGAGATGGTATAATCTTGCAATTAATCGTTATCTTAATTGTGATCACCAACATAAAAGGCTACAGCTCTCCACAGACTGAAATGGATCCTAACTGGAAAGCCAAAGATGTTCAGATGCGAGCAGTCATCAACCAAAAGCTGATCGAGACGGGCGAGAAAGAGAGGTAGTTGGAAGACACTGTGATCTAAACACTTATATCACTTATCGGAACCTTAAACTCAGGGTACAGTACCTGTCATGTTTGTAAAAAGAAGTGTTTATCACGCACCCGTTGGCTGGCAAACCAGTTTAGTATAGTAAGATGTAACTTCAACACCTCTTGCAAAGACCACTTAAAAACAAATGTGCTTCAATTTAACCTTTGTTTCTGACATGACTGAATCTGTTCTTGCCATTTGTTTCAAAAACTGATTGTTGAATGCAAAAACTGTCTCAGCAGCAATTAAGCAGGGGTCCATTTAAGAGATCAATGTAATATCTTTGTTGGGTTGTCAAAGTGAGAGCTTAATCCTGTTTTCTCCACGGGCAAGCGCATTTCATGCTTGATAGTACGAATGTTTCACGGTGTAGTCTCAGTCAAGTTGAGTACTCTGTGGAGGTTTCTACTCTGTGTTGACTGTTGACGAAATCAGGATGTTTCCTGGCAAACATACATAGAGAAAATTAAAGGTAAAAAGGGGCACTGGTAACACTCAGGAAAAATGTTCTTGTTTGACAGATTGAAAGAACTTCTACGAAATAGACTCATTGAATGTGGTTGGAGGGACCAACTGAAGGCGCACTGTAAAGGTAGGGTACTGTGTTGTCTTGTGATTGGAAAATATGCAAATCTGGTTTACCTCTGAGTGAGCTCACACCTTGCACTTAACTCGTACTCGTATAACAGCAGACGAACAGTGACGAGTTCCTTTGTCACAGTTGATTTCAAAAGCTTGTGACCCAACTTGAAATTGGATGCCATGTAAATATCAAGATAGTCTTGCCCCTGGCTCTTATCACAACACGAGCTCTTAAAAGGACGGAGTCAGGTAGGATTGTATTCATGTTTGGCTCTTGCCTGATTTCTTCCTTCAGATGTCGTAAGAAAAAAGGGTTTAGATCAAGTGACGGTGGACGACCTAGTGGCAGAACTCACTCCAAAGGGAAGAGGTGGGCATGTGGTCCTTGCAACTTACATTTATTTTATGTAATCTTGTTATAGAACCTCTAAATTTCCAAAGTTAGCACCTTCAAAACAGAAATGCTTGCCTGAGTTGTGTCTTACAAAACATTCCCAGTGGATAGCTGCTTTCAGTCAAGTAAAGTATCTTACAGGGTGTTCCATTCTGAAGCCAAACATTTACCGTTCTGGTACAAAGTTTGGAACAAATATTTTTTCGGAATACTTTTAGTTGACTTGATTGCTTTTGAAGTTGTATTGTATCGTATGATTTACGATTTTGCTTCCCTCTGTACTTTCAGAGTTGGTGCCGGATGACGTCAAGAAGGAACTCCTGCAGAGAATAAAAGCGTTCCTGGCCCAGCAGGCGAGCGTCTGATGATTAGCCAATAGGAAGTGGCCAACTCATGAATATTCACATCAGGAATCACTCTTGCTGCACCTTGAAAACTTTGTTATTAGTTTAGGATGATTACTTTTTACTTAAGTCGCCTCCACAAGTGTGGAGCACTAGCGTGGATCCCTTCTTGAAGAAATGTTCAGCAAAATCTTATTCTGTTTTCTAAAAAGATCATTTGTCCTTTCACATCAGAAAAGTTGTCCTTTAAAGTTTTCTGGTTAGGATGCGACAAGTGCTTGTATTTGTTTGGGAGCATCACACAGGACACGTGTATCAGGTTTTTCGGGGGTTTTCCTCATCCTGAATGTAAAGTTCATGACTCAACTTCCTAGTTTTGTTGGTTTCTGATGGAAGGAGGTCCTGAAGGGAAGCCAGTGTGATGCACTTTTGATGTGCCAACTATCGTTCAATTGTAAGGAACATGATGTGCTCGTGATTGTGTTAGATTTGGGTAAGTTTGGGGAGATTTCTCAGCAAAACCTTCCATGGGCTGGAAGTGTTTAGACAATATTCTTCAGTGACTATCATTCCTTACATTATCAGTCATACCTGTAAATAGTCATTGCATTTTTCAATTGCCGATTCATCCTTTTTTTCATTGTAAGAAGCAGGAATGAATAAACTCAATCTTTGAAATGAGATGCATAACGGCAAGGAATGATTGGCACTTGCGACAAGACAGCAATGGACATGGACGGAGGTCATCTATCCCTTCGCGGTTGATTACAGTCTATGGTGCATACCATGCTTGTATGGCAGAAATGAAAATCTTAGAAAAAGAGTGGAAACAATTACCTCAAGATGGAAACCTTGCAAATGTGGATCAGATTTGACAAGGAAAGCAGTTCCATGATACCGTAGAAAAAAAGTCGCTGCTTGCCACGTGGCGGCATTTTATTCCGGATAGCGATTTTATTTTAGGGTAGATAAGCGAAAAGAATGTGGAAATTAAAATTCAGCTGAAGGAAAATATTACAGTTACACGAGTTGTGTGTTTTTGAGATTCTTGTGAAGACGTAAGTACAAAGACGACAATAGAAATAATTACATGTGATATGACAGAATGGTGCATTGAAAGGAACAATGTTAAGTACAATAGTACTGATGAGAAATGGGTCAGTTCAAATCAACTCCAAATATTCTCAAACATACAAGAAAAGCCCAAGAAATGAAGAGAAATGTCAAAGCACCAGGGAGGTCCGTGTATTTCCAACAGCCCAGAAACATTGGAATACCCATCTTGTTACAGAATGACACAGTGAAGCCACGCACTCCTCAAGACACTAAAACCACTGAGCCAGTTCGTTATTTCAAAGAGGCAAGGCCTTTCGAGAACGGGGCATGCATATGGGTCAGTGTATGGCTGCACTAATAGGGCTGACTACTGCAGCTGCTTCAGTTTGACCATGTGCCGTTGGAATACCAAAGTGGGTTATTTCCCTTCGGTTCAAGTTTTCAAATACTTCAGAGTATTCAGTTTGACAGAAAAAGTACTTCGCAGCGTATTTCAATTTCAGAGATGTGTACAAAACGCGTTGCCATTCAACTGGCGGATAATAAATCAGCGTCTTTACAATTTACCGAGTGGAATTCCATCAGCCAATTTGATATCTGTTCAAGACAATAACGTACTCTTCCGAATCATATTTGCTTCGATCCATGCTGTAATGAGTTGTAGAGCCAAACAGAAATTGACAGATGTTTTCCACGAAAACATAAATATGAATTAAAAATAAAAATCCAAAAACTCAGAGATTTATAGATAAACAGCCAACAGATCTACATAGGGACAAAAGACAGAAGCTGAAAACAAAATTCATTGGGAACAAGGCCATACTTTGGTTGCTATAATGCCTACAATGTTTGTGTCATTTGTTCAAAACAGCCATACTACAGTTAATCTCTTATTTCAAAGGAAATTTTTCCAGTTCTGTGGAAATAATTTGGGCAAGACTTATTAAGATGCATTGGGGATTTTTCCAATCTCTTATTCATTTGGAGTTCCTGTGATCTTTGGCAATACTGACTTGTCATTGGCTGCCCTTTTATTGCCCTCCGACCTCACCGCTGGGGTCACCTGACCTTCCACACAATGACTTTCTTGTCGTTTCCTCCGGTCACCACTGTCTGTCCGTCAGTGGTTGCCTGGATACAGCTAATGGCATCTGTAAGACATGACCAGAAATAGCATTGGATGCCACAAACAAGAAGACATTTCCGTTACGCACATAAACAAAATAACTGAGTGTTTGTTCTTATTACACACTCTTAACTCCTTGACGACGGGAATTTCTTCCCAAAAGCCGACTCCTAGAATTCCAGCC